TTTTCTTGACTAATACCCAGGTTAACTCGGATTGTGCTTTTATGCTGAGGTAAATGATAAGAGTCGCTGAAACTTCTGTCTAGGATGTTCATTTATATGGATCAATTTGCATCATTCTTATGCTTCCATTCATTGTAATTTAAATCTTAGACTAGTTCTTAAACAATTGTTATTTGTATGAGATTTGTATGTTTAGGCACTTATTGGCCTGAATTTTATACATGCAAGGGAAAAAAAATAGAACGGGTCAGGCCCAAATCCTTAAACCTTAACAGCATTTTTTCTTTTTCTCCTACTTCACCAGTTAACTGGCATGTGTCCAAAATGGAAACCATCCCACATACCATGATATTTTGAATTTAATTTAAAAAATCATTTTGCAATGAATATTATAAAAATAAATATATTACTCACAATTTGGGTGTTCTTGAATATTTTTTAGCTGAAAATTCTCACAAAAAATGATCTTAAAGTTGGTCAGGGCTGCCACTTAGGGAAATTTTTTTTTTTATAGACGCACGTGGCATGTGGGGAAGGTCTGTCGTTTGCATCTACAGACGCTTATGGCGTACAATGGGTTAATTTATATGCTCCATCACCTTTGTTCCCAAATAGCAAAAATTTCTCATGCCCTCATATTGATCCGTATTACTCTGATGCATTTTAAGTCAGCTAAAATTTTGGATTTTGCCATCTTATAATAGTCATATGAATATGAACGGAACTTGTATTTCCTGTAACTTAAGAAAAAGACACCTGGAAAACCAGAGCAGAGTCATAATAATTTATTTTGAGACATTGAGGGAACCTGACTGACTTAGAAATTATTAGAGATGTTTTATGTTCACTATTGTTTCAGAGTTAAGAATAGTTTATGTTCTAATTCTTTCAAAAATTGATTTGTAATAAGGTATTGAAGTGAAATATGAATTTTCTCTGGGTAAGGGAAAAAAAACGAACTGAAGTTAATTTAGGAAGGAAAGTTTTAGACATATAACTCAAACATAGTATGCTATTCAAACTTAGACAAATTAAAAAAGGAATCCCCGAGAAACACTTAAAAGCAACAGAATACAACGTCTCTAACTACATTTCAGAATGCCAAGTTAGCAACGGTTTACCTTTCTGTCATTTAATATAGCTATTTTTAAAACTTATATTTAGCAACATTATATATTGTCTCTCATATCTAGAATTGATCAAAATCTGAAACTAGGCTAAATTATTTTTAGTGTTAAAAATATCAGACCAGCTTTAGAAATTTGTTGTTTGTGAGGCACAGAGAGTTCCATCTCTAAATAAAGACGGTGCGTTGTCTGAGACTAAATTTAGCAGTACGAGGGGGGAAAACGGGTGTCTAGAGTTATTTTAGAGCACCAGGAGAGGTGTTGCCACTGAAAAGAGACTCATAGAAGGTTGGTGCCAAGAGAGGTCTTGAAGGTTCTCTATTCATTGTAATATTTTCATTTTTATGAAATAAAAGATAAAGCAAATGCGTCAGAACACACCACAGACTAGGGCAGTGAAAGATCAGATAGAGAGGAGATCTGGAATTTAAACAGAAAGGGGTTGGAGGTAGAAAAATAAGGAGAAGACACAAAACTCTGTGCTAGCACATGTCCGCTGAAGGTCGGAAACTACTGATAATACCTTCTATGCCATGTTTTTCTTCCCAGAAAATCAGGAGAGTGGTAGTTTGCTTCCTCCATAAAAGTGGCCCCTATGCCAGGAAAGCATCCTAAAGTCGTCCCGAAGTGCCTAGTGCTCTTAGCATGCCCAAATCAACAGATTTCCACTCTGTCTGGCTGAATAGTTGTGACATTACTTTTTGTTGTTGTTATTGTTTGTTTTTTTTGTTAATCCTTACCGGAGGATATTTTCCCCATTGATTTTTTAGAGAGAACGGAAGGAATGGGGGGAGAGAGAGAAAAAACACATAAAACATCGATATGAGAGAGACACATCAATTGGTTGCCTCCCTCATGAGCCCCCATCAGGCCAGGGATGGAGCCTGTAACCAAGGTACATGCCCTTGACTGGAATCAAACCTAGGGCCCTTTCAGTCCGTGGGCCGATGCTCTAACCACTTAGCCAAACCAGCTAGGGCAGTTGTGACATTACTTTTTGGAGAAGAAGGGGAAAAAACTTTCCTCTTACTAATTCCTTAATTCAAAATAATTTCATGGCACAAACGGAAACCTCGTGTAAACAGGCCTCCTGTCTCCAAATGCGTGGCTGACAACAGATCCTTTTTCCTTTACAGAAAGCAGAAGTGCCAGGGTTTGAAAGGTAGTGGAGAAGGGAGTGAGCCATTCGAGGAAAAAACGAGGTGCAGAAAAATAGTCCAGAACCCCTGAAATAAATTACACGATTGCATACTTTTGACACTGTTTATCTTGAACCCTATGCAAACAAATGGAAGTTTATGCAGAATTTTTCTCATGGGCAGTCATGCGGGCTCGGCTATTTCCATAAACATTCCTTTGAATAGAATAAAATCCACCAGTTGATGAGAAAATTATTCATTTTGATGTCGATTGTCCATTCACAGGTCACATTTTCATAAAATAACTTTGTCCTCAGAAGATATGTGGACAGAGATAGGATGGCGTCCAGAAAACTTTTAAGGAAACCTCTGGTCCTGTGAGAGCCAAATAGTCTTAATGTTTTAGCACCAATAAGTGCTAAGATCTCCGTTAGGAATCGGACGCATGTGACCCAGAGCAATGCTACAGAGGTGAAATTAGCAAAGTTTCCAGCGGGGTCTCAGTGCCTGGTGGGAGACAGAAGGTAGCCTGCCTTTCAGTTCTTGTAGGGCAGGGTTTGCTGGAGTGCCCGCCAGCGTGCTGGCCCCCCTTGGTGGATAGTATGCATGATTTAAAAGAAGCTTTGTCAGCACTGATTTATACTTTGACAGCTCAGGATATTAAGATATGGGCAAACATACCGCTCACCCTTTTACAGATTAACCTGGAGACTGCATTAGGCAAATTTGAGAGCATTAAAAGATTTTGCCAATTTGTCTGGAAACAATTTCTCTTTCGTAGTGTGTCAAGGGTAACACTCCATGCCATTGTCCTCTTTTAAATGGCTTTGATAAATTGTCTGAAAGGTTAGAGAATAGTCGTGTAGATATATATTTAGCACTTTAAAATAAAAAAAGGTTATTCGCTTAATCGTTAAATGAATTTAATCTGTAAAAATCAAGAGCGCTCGAAAATGTGTTTCCTTGGAACCGCAGCCACCGTATTATATCATGGGTCTTTAAAATCTTCTTGAAAATAAAATCATACTTCTGCATTACTTCCCAATAAGTAGAATGCTTTGGGCTATTACAGCAGCATGAATGGTAGCTATTATTTGGGGAAAGCCTTCGTTGACAAAAGCAATAAAATCGCATCTTCTCCGGAGTTGCCTGTTTTTTAATATGGCATGTCCCCTAGATTGTACCATTTGCATGACATCAAGAGAGCCTCCTGTATGATTGTGTCCCCTGGAGACCCTCGTGAAATGAGATGTATATTTCATGAGACATTGTGGAGGTACATAATTTCTAAAGTAAGGAATTCAAAGAGGCCCCTTTGGATTCACTCCTTGCACTTTTTTTTCAGTAGTTTTATGAGAGAAACGGTGATTCTGTGGGAATGTTTAAACAGTGGTTGTAAGAACAGACCTCGGATATGAATTATCCCTTTGGGTGGATTCTGAGCTGGAAACAAGGACGAGATGCAGTCGTACTCTGATCACAGTCTTGCCCTGCACAGCTTCACGTGGAGCTGACAACCCCTCTGATTATTTCATCAAACATCCCGCTTCTATCCCAAGTGAAGCATTGAAATACTTTTTCTTCACTGGAATAATAATATCGCCAAGCACCAAGCTACTAGATTTAAACACTGCTTATTAGGGGGGAAAAAAAGGATAGGACAGGTAGGATTTACTGCTTAACCATTCCTTTTAACAAAGTAAATTCCTTTGTGTAAATAAGGAAGTTTTAATTCCAAAAACAAGTGGCAGGAAAAAGCAGACTTAACCAAGTTTGGAGCAGCCTATTTTTTTTCCTCCAATCTTTGAACTTTAACAAACTGCAAGAAAAGATTCATTTGTTTCAATTTTGTGTTATTTACGAGGAACTGGTACAGCCTTTTAACTTTTTACCTTAGATATAGGTAGCGTTTTCATGCTGCTGCTGCAGTATGTGTTTTGTAGGGGTTTGGGCTGAAATTAGCATCTTTGAGAAAAACAAAAATGGTTATTGATTTCCTAATATTTTAAACACTTATTTCCTGGAGAGTGGTATCACTCAGGAGGTTCCCTCACTGAAAAGGATGCCGCGTTTACAGGGCAGGGAATTCGAATATAATGATAAACAATGCAAATTATGAGCATAGTGACGCTTAAAATAGAACAACTGCTGGCTTGCTACGTGGATTCCTGGTTGGGACTGCGGGAAGATCTATGGGACCTCATTTCTCTTTCTTGATTTGGAGTTCTCGAAGGAAAACTGCTTTTAAAAAGGAGAAAATCTAAAAGTAGTCTCGCTCTTTCTTGCCAAGGATAGTGAAATTAACATGCAGCTGGGCTTCTCTGATAAATGGATTCTGTTAGGTCACTGAGGGGGTGCGTGTGACATTAAGTGATTTACAGTCCTTTACCTTAATGAAATTGTTTCAGCAAGATGACGCTGAAAGCTCTTAATGGATAGCTTTTCTTGATGTAATGAAATTGCATTCCTATGGCATTTAATATAAGGTGCAGTTATTATTTACAGGAGCTCTCCAAGGGCTGCTATTTGCACAGACAGTTCAGAACAAAAAGAGATTTCAGTGGCGGGCGGCATGGAGGCCAGAAGGGCTCGTGACATTCTTCAGCCGATGAGTGTATTTGGGAGAGCATTTCAGTTCCTGCAGGCAGGGCTTCCTAGACCCTTCAAGAGACTTCCTTTCCCTCACCCTGCAAGTCTTCAGCCTTTTACACATATCCTTTCATCCGTTTAACAGGCAACTGGATTACAACCAGATCAGCTGTATCGAAGATGGGGCGTTCAGGGCTCTCCGGGACCTGGAAGTGCTGTGAGTACCTCTGATTTCTCTGACTCCTCACTAGAGCTTTGTGTCGGGGGGGATGCTAATGTGGAAGCTTATCTGTTAGCTTAAAACCCAGGGTCAAAATGGTCTCGTAAGGAGATGCCTTAATAACTCATGGTGAAAACAGGGAAGAGTCCAAACGTGTGTGTGCAAAACCTTGTGCATAGCTGTATGTTAAGGTAACATGGTCTATGTAAGAGGGACACACAAATGTTCACACATAATGTCCTTGAAGTGTCTCTTCTTATGATAAACTATTCTGATTCATGGGATTTGTGGGAATTCCTAGGATTGCTAAGTCATAAGATAACATCAGTTGTAAAGGAAAAATCACAACAAAAAATAAACCTCTATGTAGCTGATATGTGGGTATAGGTTGTAGTTGCTATGCAATGGAAAGATATTGTCTCACCGTAAAATGTCCTTTTTGACCAGATAACTTGACATCGTTTTTGCAAGGTTCTTTTGAAATTGACATTCTAGTTTTAATGAGCGGCCCAATAGGTCCATTCAAGTCTTCGCTACTGACTTAGTAAAGCACAGCTCACAGATCTGAACTATATGGGCAGACACGACTGACAGAATTGGTTAGAAGCAACTGAATAATCTCTACAGATCCTCGACTTAGTAACCTAATTTAAATTAAATGATTAATTATAATAAAAATGATTTTAATGAAAACTAGAGTTCCTAAAGCAAGGGAAGCCACCTGTCCATTTATGAAATTTTTTTTCCAAAGAGTCAGCTTTTTACAGCTTTTAAAATATACGTACACATTTCTCTCCCATATACACTGTTTTTCTATGCTCTCATTTATCCCTGACTCAATTTATGCAGAAATCCAAAATTGAATTAAATGTGAAGAAGTTTTGAATTTTTAGTCCAGCTGGTTAAAGTTATCCAGGAATCACAAAAGCCTCCTGAAAAAAAAGGATTCCATTGCTTTATAAATTAAGTTTGAGGAACAGGATGTAATTCTGAAAAAGAAATGTAATGTTTCAATCAGAATGACTTATTTTAGCAATATTTTCTATATGATTTTGATTTTAATTGTGAATAATTGAATAATAGAGTTTTTAGCTGCGTCATGTGATGTTGTTGCTAATTATTTTTAAAGGCTTATGTAAGAATAAGTTCATTGAGGTAAACTATTATAAGAATATATACTGTTCTCTGACCACAGGAGAAGTCATCTTGGTTTTGATTGATAAGAGCCTAACTTTTTCTATAGGAAAAATATTCCAAGTGCTAAGCATACACAGTGTAGTTATAAGGCCACCTTTTAAATTGTGTTCCAGAGCCAGTTTTAATATACGAAGCTCACTGATGCTAATTCAGAGTCAGAATAATTAGGATACAACTATGGTTTCGTGATACTCATCTGATGTCAGGACTGTAGCCAATGCCAGTAAACTTTGTATGTGAAGAGATTGCCGCAGAAGTTATTTAATTCAGCGGAGCTGATAAAGCCAAACAAATTGACACTAAGTCAGTGCTCCTAACTAGGGAGATGAATGATAGCAATCATTTTGTGGAAATTTTGCTGAGTGTTTTGGACAAATTGAAAATTCCTAATGTACTTTGTTATTAAGAGTTTAAATATTTATTAGATGTGGAATAATTTATATATAATATATTGAGTATATGTTGAGTACTCTATAGTGACAGAAAAAATACAAATAATATGTATATTTTAAAATATTTACATATTTACATGGAGAGAGAGAGAATACGTGAGAAAGAAAATCTGCTATGTGCCAAGCACTGTGTTTGGCATTAAAATCCCGCTACCAGTGAATGCAGTAACTATTAATTTGCTTATTTGTTGTAAATTAATATAATTGTTTTCAGAAACAGTAAATTCATGAAAACACAATCACCTCATTCATTGTGTGCTGTGTGAGCAAACTATCTAAAAAGTGACTTTAAAAAGACCTCCTATCATGACCACATCAGAGAGTAATAAACATTTTATGGTTCATGGAATTAAAATCGAAATCTAACATTGAAAACTCTTTTGGGGACCTAATATGTATGTCTCAAAAAGATACAGATTGGTCTGAGTTTGTTTGCTAAAAAAATAAATAAATACATACATAAAATCAGCACAGAAAGTATGCATTTCTTTCAAAAGGATTTAAACATTTATATTGAAATTTTATAAAGTCAAGCACACATTCTTTTACCATATATGTTAATTTTAAAATTTTTATAATTCATATAACCTTTAGAGAAATTAGTTGATGAATTTAAGGAAAAATTGAATGAAGTACTGAAACCACTGGAATTCATCAAGCCCAAATACCTTGTTAGGTAAAAGAAGTTCGCCTATTATAAACATTTCCTCAGGAGCTTTTTTATGGAGTTCACTTCTAAAGGGTTTCAGAAAGTTTGTTCTCTGTTTCGCGTATTTTTACCAATCATAGTTCTTTAGATTAGACCATCTCACTATGTGGGAATAATGAAAGGACGTTAATTTGCACATACATCAATTCAGGCTCCCAATGGTTTAGATTTTTTTAAAATTTTAATTCAATGAACCATTTATGAATGTTTGAATATACTGAGGCCAAACAAGAGGAGTGGTGATCCAGGGCCATTGATGAAAATTTGTTAGATTAGGTAGAGAGAGTGAATAAAGCTCGAGAAGGGAAAGTTTAGGTAGATGAAAGCAAGTAGGTTATCACCTGTATGTTCATGGCCTTCTTGTGGAATTCTGGTTGGTAAAATATAGAACTTTTTTCCTAAATATGAAGATACTGTCCCAAAAATAACTTTGAAAATTAAATCTAGATCAATGTTTACTTTTTCTTTGGAGGCTAGACTAGAAATGAAATATATCCCTTGAGTTGCTAGTTTTAGTTTTTTTTTTTTCTATAGAATGCACATAATTTAATTTAATTGAAACACGGTGATTCATATCCATTAAATATCAAACCCTCTGCCAAATCCTATGCCTGGCACTAAGGGAATAGAAAAAATAAGTCCAGATGTAAGTCCAAAGGGGCCTACATAATTAGCAAGACGAATATTTTGTATTTCAACACCAAGATGTCCTTTGTACAAGAATACATTCTCATTACAAAGAGAGAATTTTGAAGTTGAACACAGAAATGGACTTTTGCGTGACCACAGCATAAACATATCATCATACCTAATTAATATGTATTTATTATTAACCTTTAAATACAGTTTCTTTGGTCCCACGTATTGCTCCATTACCAGGTACCAGTATCAAAATTGCTTTGCCGACATAGATACTGAATAAAAATGCTAAGATAATTTATTTCTTCAGTTGCACTATGCAAACTAACATTTTGAGAGAAGACTTCAAATTGATAGCCACCAGCGTCAGCACTAAGTGAAATTCTGTTTTGTGGCAGCATAAGAAATTATAGTTTCAAATTAATGTCTGTCTGCTGCTTGAATTACTTTAAAAAATACCTTATCCCCCAAGTCACATTTTCGTATGGTGTGTACTCTGGAGATTTTCGCTATAGAAAGTCAGCATCAATTTTTAGGGCGGAAAAAGGGGTCATTGGAAAGCAAATCCCTTTGAGAAGTGAAACCTTTTAGTGCAAACATCAGGATATATTTAAATGGCGTTTGAAAAGAAATCTCATTTCACTTGAGTACATGGAAAATGCTACAGGCTTTTAGATAACATGGGCCAACCAATTCAATGCTTTATAGGTCCTGCATAAAGTGGGCTGTTTTTTTTATACCCCCTATGTGACTTAATTCAAATTACTTGGATTAGTTCTTACATCATTCAATACATTGCAAAACTGGAGAGCAAAGAGGGTCAGTGCATGTTCCAGACATGTAACTGCTGTGCCCTACTTTGCTGAGAAGTTTAAGTTAATCCCTCAACCCCCGAGCACCCCGCATCGCACCTTTAACAACTGTAGCCACCAGCTGGCCTAACGTGGCCTCACAAATGTACCTTGTTTCACCCAAGCAGACTTGGCCCATGGACTTTTTGAAATACTTGAGTTGGTTGCCGGTATTTCAAATTAAAAATTAGGAGGATTGATCTAAAAATTTCGAACTCGAGCTTCTCGAGAAAATCAGATTCTTCAGCAGCCTTCCAGTACCGCAGAGCAGTAGTCCGTGGGAGCTGGATACTAACTCTACAACAAAGAAGAGCATCGCTAGTTTTCCAGGGCCCTCCTGGTTCCCAGCTGTGCGCTGCTCTCCTTCTCTCTCCCTCATTGTATTTTCGCATATCCAGCCTGCTTCTCTCATGTTTGCTCCCTGCCTGGCCTTGGTAGGCAAGTGAATTTGCAACCTCTAATTACAACCCTTCTCCAATATCAAAGGTATCCACCTGGGCTATTGATCCCATCTTTCTCGCCTCCTTCAGCAGCTTGTCCTGTTTAGTCAACACTGAACTATATGCTAGAATCATGTTCCGTCTCCACACTGTCCTCACACACTCCTGGAATAACTGTCTTCACATTTTCTTGTCACAACCAGACTTCTCTGAAGAGAGAGAGGGAGAGAAAAGCGAATTCTTTTCTTCATCTTATTAATTCCAAGTTTTTGTAACTTGAGTAATTCATCTCACCAGTTGGCCTATTTGCTATTTTCAGACAGGTTTTATGCCTGCCTGTTTTATTTTTATAATATTCCATATTGCCATAAAAATAAGAGCCATTCAGGAAATACTGGATGAATAAGTGAGGAGAAGTAGCAGTAGAAATAATAATAACAAACTAACAGTGCTTGTTAGGGGGAAATAGGAAAAATTTGAACCAAGAAAGAATTATGCTTATTTTCACCATATCTCCCATGACCACCCATCTTACTTAGTCTAGTTTCAGGAAACCATGATCATCACCACGTAGCCCTAAAATAAAAGGACGGTATCTGGCTGCAGCTAAAAACTGTTAGAATATATTAAGCTTTTAATATACTGCTGCAGAATGTCACTTCATCCCCACCCAAAGCAAGTAGCACATATAGATATCATTCTTATTACTCAGATTTCAACAGTGGCTGATGTCTACAGGAAATAATAATCAGCAGGACTGTGTTTCACTCCATGACATTGCTGTGAGATTTCAGTTGGAGCTTTCAAATATGTTCATTTACTCACGGGCACTAATTACACATGACACCTCTCTAAGGAAACGTGACTACTTAATGTTTCCAATTGTGACTGTCTCAGGCTTGTTTGTCATAAACAGACATGCATGCAGGTACAGGTGCATCAAGCAACAGAGAAGCAGTAAAGATACTGTGGCTGATGCCATAGGTTTGTAATAAATATTTGGTAAAACTGAATACATAGTGATATGTTAAAATATACAACTTATTTATCATCTTGTTTATAATATAGTACATTCTCTGTGCCATCTCAACCCAGTAGTTGTTTTATATAAACATAATCGCTACAAGTTTTCTTTACATTCATATATAGAATGATCAATACATTTCATATCTGAAGTCTTTAATTATTTTCTTTTTTTCTACAGCACTCTCAACAATAACAACATTACCAGACTTTCTGTGGCGAGTTTCAACCACATGCCTAAGCTTAGGACTTTGTAAGTAGTCGCAACATATATAAAGGTCAATCTAATCAATTAGGGATGCCCCCTGAGTACTATTTTTAGTAAGCAAAGAACAAGTAGTTCATTATGGTGTAGACAAGGGAAACACCAGTTTTATTAAAGTTCTAGATATGATATTTGAGCAAATTATTCTGAAAACTTGAAAGCTTTCTTTTAAATGATCTGTGTTCTGGGAAGTTTACTTTGAGTTATTGTGGAGGTCACATTTCATTAAGAAATGGAAGACTCCTTGATTGGCTGTCAGAAATGATAAATGATAAATCTTTATGTTTTTATTACTGTATGTCAAGCAGACCTAATAAAGCTAAACTAGCTCGCCAACATTCTTTGTAACATAAAATTACAGCATCACCTTCTAGTGTTTCTGTAATTAAGGTCGTGTCAGCATTTCTATTTAAAAATATCTTTTCAGGGGTTACAGATGGACATTAAAATATTTTAGGTGAATAAAAAGGTTCTCTAATAAAGTGTTTGCTACAGCTATGTGTATGTTTTTCTCTTGGAGAAAAAGTAATCCTTAAAGCCCAGGGTGGGGATATTTATTCAAAGCATTTTCAGAGATGAATCTCATTTGAACTCAGTTTCAGAATCACCTTGACCTAAAAAAGCTATATTATATATAATATGTGAGAAATAGAAACATAACCAAAGCATTGGACTTTTTGGGAAAGTATGTGTTCTTACCTATGTTTTGGAAAAGCCAATATTTTTATTGGCTTTTCAAAATATGTTTTTTTATTTTATAACAGCTGGTAACTGGAAACATTATGTTTATTTTCTTTTTTAATAAAAAATCAATTGAGTTGACAGATTTTTAATAATTAGGCAATATCAATCTTAATTTAATTTTTTCTCACTAAAGTGTATACAATGTTCCATCTTTATAATTTTCTTGGAATATGATTTAGAAAAATAAAAGAATTCTGAAAGTATGCACATAGAACTAGATTTTGTTTCCTCGGAGCTATCAGATTGAGACTAATCTGTCCAAATTAACAGCCCAGTTCACTCCAACTGTATTTAATGAAATTGGTTTCTCATTAAATTTAAGTTTAAAAAAAAACACAATTTGATCGAGCTTTTCTTCTTTGCAAAATAAAGCCACTCAGACCGTAAACTCATCCATCATCTGCATTTTTGATAATGTGCCTCATTTTCTTGTAGAGATCCACTACAGCCTGTCCGTCTTACTAATCAGGCTTTTCCATTTTTATCTTCCTTTCTTATATCACGTGTGCCCATGTAACTGAACCATTGTACTGGGTGTGGCTCCGATGGAAATGCTTAGAGAACGATGATGTGGGATGTGCCTCCTGGCTTCCAAAGGACGCCAATCTGACTTCCACGCAGACTGAGCCGAAGTTGCCCACCTTTCCCACAATGTAGCTTTTTGCTCTGCGGTCTGCCTTCTAGTTTTCATACAAGGCTCTTCCGTATCTACAAGCTCAAGGAGAATGTAAAAGAGCCATCGAACTTTCAGTTCCCTTGCTTTGCTTGTTTCATTATTCTATATTATCATTGCTACTTAAAAATTCCATTTTTATGGTCCAATTATCTTTCTGGACTGAGTTCCGTTTTAATATCCATTACTGTTATTGGGTTAGAATTGAGCACATCAGCTAAAAAGGGCTAAAATGGTATTACTGTGTCATAGATGATTCTGGGAACGATGCTTTGATTTATAGCTTTGGATGTCCCTTTCTTTAGTTTGAGAAAACATAAAAGCCAGTTTGAAGTCATTTACCTAATTTAGTGGATACATTTGTCTGATGTTTTATTAATGGTGAAGTGCTATTTGCCACTTGGAAGGGATCCACGATCGGGTGTGGATTCCTGCCAGCGCAGAGGGGGCTCACTTAATTCCTTCACTCCCAGCCACTTATGTCTTTTAATTCCAGTTTCTACTCTTGGAGGGCGGTCCCCAAGAGCCAAATGCTGCTGATCCCTTTTTCTGATATTGTACAAAAAGAAGGAAATCAGAATAGGGCCTGAAAGAAGTGTTTTCTATTTTAATCCTTACACACGATGTTTATCAATTTTAGAGAGAGTAAGGGAGGGAAGGAATCAGAGAGAGAGAGAGAGAGAGAGAGAGAGAGAGAGAGAGAGAGAGAGAAACATCGATATGAAAGAGAAAAGAGAAACGTCCATCAGGTGCCTCCCATATGCACCCTGACCAGGATCAAATCTGCCACCTTTCCGTGTAGGTGGCTCCAACCAACTGAGCCACCTGCCCAGGGTGGAAGAAGTGTTTTATGTTGAGTTATTATTCTTTCCTATCGAGCAAAAAAGGAAAGTGACCTCCTAAAAAAGATTTTGCAAGCAGTTCCCACAGAGACTAATAATTCAAACCGGGAGCCACGAGTTTTATTAACGTGCCTCCTAGCCCTACCCGCTGCCTTACCTGCCCGTTCCCCAGCACCAATCGGCTATCGGTATGTCGGCACTGCAGAGCAATTTGCCTTGGATTTGTCTCTCTTCACCGTTTTGAATGAACCTAGGCAAAAGATTCTCACGGTCAGGTTCCAGTTTCCACATATTTACTTAGCTCGCAGGGGAAAGAAGAGAGACTCGATGCTGTGGTTGGGAACCAGCTACATTTTTAGACAAGTAATTTGATTGCAAGTTGCTAAACTTTATCTAATTCTATGTTAAGAAACAAAGCTATATATTATTACTAAAGATTTTTCCAAGTTTTGAAATAACTATTTCTGTTTTTTTTGTGTGTGTGTGTGTGTGTGTGTGTGGTGTTTTTTTGTGTTTTTTTTTTTTTTGCTTGAAACCTCTTGCCCGCCATTTAGTCGACTGCATTCCAACAACCTGTACTGTGACTGCCACCTGGCCTGGCTCTCGGACTGGCTGCGGCAGAGGCCTCGCGTGGGCCTCTACACTCAGTGCATGGGCCCCTCCCACCTGAGGGGCCATAATGTAGCCGAGGTTCAGAAGCGAGAATTTGTGTGCAGTGGTAAGGGAGAAAGCGCCTTTATGTGGTCTTCTTGTATGCTGTATTCAAGGACACTGTGAAAAATGCATGCTCTCAGGCTTTCGTGTTGCTCACTAATGTGTGCAATTGTGTGCTAATCACCCTATGGAAATCCTCTGTTTTAGTGGTGATAATAATATGCTCTAAGACATCAGTGCACGCTTTATAATTACTGATTACTTGTACCTAAGGAATGATGAAAGACTTTTTCAGCTTTCACTCCAGGGGAAATATAGGAAATCCCTAGATTTTAGTTCTCTTTGCTGCTCGTTATTTTCCCTTTAAGTAATCATTTATATCTACTTTTATGTTAACAATTGGAAATATGATTAATTAATCCTGGATCTCTGCTGGGAAATTCAAAAAAAATAACTATAGTTGCAGAGTGACAAAATACTTTCTGTGTATACATATATAGTAGGGGTTGAGGTCTACTTAAAAGAGGTAAATGCCTAGCTTTAGTAACAAAAATCTGAAAACAAAAATAAGACATGGGTGATATAAAATGTCAGTAGGTGACATTTACTTAGTTCTTTCCCTGTGCTTAAACACCAATCTAAGTATTTCACATATAGTCACCTCATTTTGCCTCCCTCATAACAGTTGTAGGGAAATGTAATATCTATATTAGAGGTTAAATTACTGAGAAAAATATACTAAGTAACCTTGTTCACAGTTATATAGTTAAACCAAGGATCTCAACCTAGGCAGTCTGATACCCAATCCATGGATAGATACATAGGTAGATAGATATTTATATATATTTATAAAATTATATGTTAATACAGGGTGGGGCAAAAGTAGGTTTACAGTTGTGAGTATGCAAAACACAGAGTCTATTCTTGTATTAGTATTTATTAGCTATTGTATTATTTTCCATACAAAAACTGTAAACTTATTTTTGCCCCAATTTATATTTTATTGATCCATATTAACATATAATTTCCTTTATAAATACAGGGTTGATTCTCCTTTAGAACTGACTGTTCAACAAACAAAAAGAGGCATAAATGGTTGCCAGTTTCTTAAAGGAATGAGAAGAGGTGCCAATATAGGATTCTAAGTTATTGTTACCTTTTAGTCCTCTTTATGTACTTTCCCACACTTTTTATAACCCACACAAAATTTTCTTGTGATGTCATGAAATGTGCTCAATAGGCCTGGTTGAATTTTTTTAAAAAATAGATAATGAAATGACTCACAATTTGTCACTAACCACTTTTTCTCTCTTCACTTCCCTCCCCCCTCCCCCTCCCCCCGTTTTCTAGATGAGGAAGAAGGCAAGTTCACGTTTCTTTTTTAGACTGAGAGTGTGTTTGTGGAGCCTGAGAGCTTGTTGGGAGGGACAGGGTTAGCAATAGCCTGCTGCCACTGCCTGGCATATCCCCACCACGCGGGTGCTCTCCCTGCAGGCCTGAGAGGGTTGTCCCTGCTGCAGGGCCAATGTGTGCACCTGCCCATTTGCTAAAATACTGCTGACACTGTTGTGCATCCTTCAAACAGTAAAATCTCATTTCAAAATAATTTTGTTTTCAAATAAGAGTAGTTAAGTTATATACCTACTTAGGCCACAGAAAGCCAAAAAAATAAAGCATGTCAATTAACAATGTCAGAGTGACATGTTACAAATTATTATAATAGCTCCAAAGAAAATGGTCATTTTGAATCTATTCAGACATTAAACTAAGCATGATCTAGTTTCCCCCCACATTTATGGCCATGTGATAACTTATTTAAAATCAACAGCTATGTCTACCAGGAGGGACATTTTTATTTTTGAGGTAAAGTAAGTTAAGCTGTATAAGTTTAGTAAAGACCAAGCTCTATTTAAGCTTATTAGAAAATGAAATATAGACTAGTCTGAAGTTGCTGTATTTTTGGAACACAGAATAGTTTTGAATAGAATTTTACTTTTGGAATCTGAATTTAGACTTTCTCGCCATGATTTCAAGTCTTACACTTATAATTGGTACTAGAGGCCCGGTGCACAAAATTCGTGCACTCGGGGGGATCCCTCAGCCTGGCCTGTGCCCTCTCGCAGTCCGGGAGCCCTCGGGGGATGTCTGACTGATGGCTTAGGCCTGCTCTCTGTGGGGGAGCGGGCCTAAGCCATCAGTTAGACATCTTTAGCGCTGCCGCCGAGGCAGGAAAGTCTCCCGCCACCGCCGCTGTGCTCGCCAGCCATGAGCCCTGGTTCTGGCTGAGCGGCGCTCCCCCTGTAGGAGAGCACTGACCACCAGGGGGCAGCTCCTGCATTGAGTGTCTGCCCCCTGGTGGTCAGTGCACATCATAGCGACCAGTCGTTCCACCGGTCGGTCGATTTGCATATTAGTCTTTTATTATATAAGATAATTCCTTTTAAAAATCTCATTTGCTTCATCTGGATGTTGACCCCAAAATTATATAAATGCATGCTTCCTAAAGTGTATTTTAGAAATAAAAGACCATTTTATAATCAGGTATATAGATAAATGTTTTTGACATGCTTTGTTTGTTATTTAAGATAAGCTTGCATGTCTCACAATTATGACTTTCAGGAGGAAGAATATACTTGCTGTTTATGTTTGTTTTGTTTTGTTTTTTTAGGTCACCAGTCATTTATGGCTCCTTCTTGCAGCGTCCTGCACTGTCCAGCCGCTTGCACCTGTAGCAACAACATCGTAGACTGCCGTGGGAAAGGTCTGGCGGAGATCCCCACAAATCTGCCTGAGACCATCACAGAAATGTATGTGTCCTGAACCCCCCTCGCACCCCTCCTCCTCCCCAGGGATCCAGACCCTGACTTTCCTTAGGAGAGTCTGGGTTTATCAAAGGCAGATCTGATCAATTAGCTTAGACAAATGTTCCTTTCAGAATGGTATTGACCCTCACTCTGTTTAATTAAGTATCTTGTCGAAGTGGCTAAGATTTGTCTTTTTTAAGCACAGGAAGAAGGAAAAGGAATGCATTTTAAGGAGAAATAGTACGTTTCCTTCCCTTGAGAAGGGGGTTATTAGGCTATTTAGGGACAATAAGCAGGGCTTTACTAGTCTGACTGTGTGGGTCTTCCCCAGTTCGTTTCAAGCCCGGAGCGGAGGGAAATAAGGCAGCTGGGGTAATAAATCATAGAAACAGGATGGCTAGACGGTGTTTGGCCTCCTCAAGAGCTCACATTTTAAAAAGCAGTTTAGCTGTTGTGTGTGAACTATTGTATAATCTGCCACAAAGTATAAAAAAGGGTAATAATGTAAGTCAAAAATATAAGATACTTAAATTCATGAGCATTTGAGCCTACTTGGGTTGATGTTAAAGCCATCAGAAGTTAAATCCCCTTGACAAAGTGGTTCATACCTGTCTGTACACAGCTGCAGTGAGCATTTGTCCCTGCCAAACCAAGGTCATGTGCAGGAAACAAGGCCATGTGTGATGTCAGAGGGACCCCTTTAACCAGCTTGAGCATTAAACATTAGGGAAAATCTTTACCTCGGTATTCACTCACTGAGAAAGCACCTCTTACCCACCTAGGTGCCATATTATTGTTTTAGAAGCCAGTTCTAAATTTTAACTAAACAAATAGCACTGGGCATTTTTGGTTGACATAATAATGTAGGACCACTTCTTGTGATAAATCTACGTTGTAGGCACAAAAAGATCAAGTTATTTTCAAAAACTATTTATTTATTATTTCATTTTTATTTTTTAATAATTTATTGGGGTGACATTAATTAATAATGTTATATAAATCTTAGGTGGACAACTTTATAATAAAACATCTATATTCTCTATCGTGTGTTCACCACCAGAAGTCTAGACTCCTTCCTTTTTTTTCTTTTCTTTTTTTTGCCAATTCACTGTTCTAATTTATTTATGTGAGAATAACCTTAGTTCCCAAGACCCATTGTCACTATTTTAAAGTATCTAGTGTGTGCTTAAACATGTGCTTACAGCTTTGCTGTCTTAGACAGGGTCCTCTGAGGAACTCTAGAATTTATGGCCATTTGACCCAGACATGGATAATGAAGGCACATAGTATTCCTATCCTATTTCTGATTGATGGGACACTGCCTTGCAGAGAAGACACGTGCTTAGTATTTTTTAGCTGAATCTGGGAAGGAGAAAAATATATGGTTTTAGAAGAGGTGGGTGACATCACACAAAAGAGAAACAGCAGGAGCCTAGGGCAGCGGTGGCAGCGAGTTATGTTTTAGAGATTGTACCTTTGAGGCGAATGGGAGTACGAGGTGCATGCCAAGGCACAATAGAAAATAAACCCAAAAAAGGATATCTCTCTGTATACGTTCCAAGCCACCGGGTACTGAAGGACTTTCATCTTAGAAGATGTAATATATGATGAAGTAGATAGTAGTTTTAGAATAGGGAATAGTACACATATATTCATCTATCCAGGCATGAGCATTTATTTATTTGCTTATGTGTTTATATATTTACTAGAGGCCCGGTGCACAAAAATTTGTGCACTCTGGAGGGGTCCCTCAGCCCGGACTGTGCCCTCTCACAGTCTGGGACCCCTCTAGGGATGACCACTTGCTGGCTTAGGCCCGCTCCCCAGGGGATTGGACCTAAGCTGGCAGTCAGACATTCCTCTGGCAGCCCGGGAGCCCTCGGGGGATGTCCACTTGCCAGCAGGGAGCAGGCCTAAGCTGCAGTCGAACACCCTTAGCGCTGCTGAGGAGGCGGGAGAGGTTCCCACCACCACCACTGTACTGCCAGCCATCAGCCTGGCTTGTGGCTGAGCAGAGCTCCCCCTGTGGGAGCGCACTCACCACCAGGGGGCAGCTCCTGCATTGAGCGTCTGCCCCCTGGTGGTCAGTGTGTGTCATAGTGACCAGTCATTCCCAGTCGTCCTGTTGTTAGGGTCAATTTGCATATTACCCTTTTATTATATAGGATAGAGGCCTAATGCATGGGTGGGGCCTGCTGGTTTGCCCTGAAAGGTGTCCCAGATCAGGGTGGGGGTCCTGCTGGGGTGCCTGACCAGCCTGGATGAGTGGCTGATGGCTGTTTGCAGCCTGGCCACGGCCCCCAGCCACCCAAGCTCCCAGTGGAGGCTGGCTGGAAGCAGGTATCTGGGATTTATTTAGCTTCTATAATTGAAACTTTGTTGCCTTGAGCGGAGGCCACAGCTGGCCAGGGCAGGTGGGAAGCTTCGCTTCCTCCATCGCCGGGGCAACCAAGCCTCCTGCTTGCTCCAGCTCCGTGGCTGCTGGCAGCCATTGGTTGGGTTAATTTGCATATAGTTGCTCTGATTGGCTGGTGGGCGTGGCTTGGGGCATAGCAGAGGTGCAGTCAATTTGCATGTTTCTCTTTTATTAGATTAGACTAGAGGCCCGGTGCACAAAAATTTGTGCACTCGGGGGGGGGGGGGGGTCCCCCAGCCCGGCCTGTGCCCTCTCACAGTCTGGGACCCCTCGGGAGATAACGACCTGCTGGCTTAGGCCTGCTCCCGGGTGGCAGAGGGCAGGCCCAATCCCTAAGTGCAGCCCCTGGTCAGGCTCAGAGCAGGGCCGATTGGGGAGTTGGGGCGCCGCCCGGTCATGCACAGAGCAGGGCGGATCGGGAGGTTGCAATGCCACCCTCAGTCACGCTCAGGGTAGACTGATTGGGGGGTTGGGGCACCGCCCCCTGTTACACTCAAGGCAGGGTCAATGGGGAGGTTGCTGCGCCACCCCCTGTCACGCACAGAGCAGGGCCGATCAGGGGATTGGGGCGCTGCCCCCTGTCACTCACAGAGCAGGGCCAATCAGGGGGTTTGGGCGCTGCCCCCTGTCACGCTGATCCCGGTGCCGGGAGGCATATTACCCTTTTACTATATAGAATAGAGGCCTGGTGCACGGGTGGGGGCTGGCTGGTTTGCCCTGAAGGGTGTCCTGGATCAGGGTGGGGGTCCCCACTGGGGTGCCTGGCCAGGCTGGCTGAGGGGCTGAGGGCTGTTTTTCCGCTGGCAGATGACTAAAAGCTCCCAACTGCTCCTTGTTTTCTTTCTTTTTTTTTTTTATTCTGGGCCAGCTTTAGCTCTGAGGCCTCGCTGCTGAAAACATGGATACAATGTTGCGGTCCGGGGCTGACTGACAGCCGGTTTTGTTTAGCTTCTTATTTGCAACATAGTAATAGTTGCTTAGAGTTGCAGTTGAGAGGCCGGCAAGTGAGGCGGGGAACGTTGGAATCTGCAGTCCCTGGAGGAAGCAAGTCTCCCTGTTCGCTTCAGTGCATGGCTGCCGGCCGCCATCTTGGCTGACAGTTAATTTGCATAAGGATACGCTGATTAGCCAATGGGAAGGGTAGCGGTCGTACGCCAATTACCATGTTTCTCTTTTATTAGTGTAGATTTGATTTCAGAGAGGAGGAGTGGGAGAGAGAGATTGAAACATCAATGATGAGAGAGAATCATTCATCAGCTGCCTCCTGCACTCCTCCTACTGGGGCTGGAGCCAGAAACCTGAGCATGTGCCCTGAATGGGAATTGAACCGTGACATCCTGTTCATAGGTCGATGCTCAACCAGAGGCACACCAGCCGGTCCAGGCCTGAGCATTATTAAATAAACACTATATAAAGGCAGCATGAATTATCCAGAGACCTTTCCACAAGTGACTAACACATTTGACATCCAAAATAAAAGCTATGAAATGAGGTACAAAGTAGTAACTCTGAGAAAGGAATAAATAAAGTCAAAGGTATTTATTGCAGAGCGGGTAAATTGGGGTATACAGTGTGAACCAGAGTTAGAAAGTTTTAGTTAGGACCATGGGTCTACCCACTCTTCACTATCTGTGACACCGTGGGCAATTACTTCTCATCCACGAGACTGTCTCCACATCTGAAGCTGAGGGTTATTGTGTGTTTGAGATGGAGTAATTTTAACATGTAGAGCTTTATGTGTTTAGCATAAAGCAGCGGTTCTCAACCTGTCAGTCGCGACCCCTTTGGGGGTTGAACGACCCTTTCACGGGGGTCGCCTAAGACCATTGGAAAACACATATATAATTACATATTGTTTTTGTGATTAATCACTATGCTTTAATTATGTTCAATTTGTAACAATGAAATTGGGGGTCACCACAATATGAGGAACTGTATTAAAGGGTCGCGGCATTAGGAAGGTTGAGAACCACTGGTATAGTAATCATTCAATAAATGATGCCTTGATCATTGAAGCCTTTATATAGGAGGTAGCCTGTGAGGTAGGTTTTAAAGAATAGATAGTGAATAGAAATGCAGAGATGAGAAAGACTTTCTATCTTAATTGAACATCATAAGCAAAGGCAATAAGAATGATAATACAAGACACTACAAAGCTCACTTTGGTATGTGAAACTTGAGAAAGCAGGAAAATAAAGTGAGAAAGCTTGGTTGGAGCCAATTCATGGAGGGCCTTGGATAGTATAAAGATCTTTGTCTTTATTTGGAATGCAGTTGGATACAGGAGTTTTCATCTGAATCTTCAATATTAATCGATCGGACAGCTTATGCAGTGGTTGGCAAAAGGAGAGAATACCAGGCCTGAGGCCTCTAGGAGGCTATGATGTTGATCGAGGGGCGATGTCACTAGAGCAGGAGCTAATAAGTAGCTGTCGGAATGATGATGTGGAAGCAGATATGATAGCTAATAGAGAAGTAGACTTAAGGGAATTTGAAATTTGATGAGATGAGAGAATAATGGAGAAAAATGAACCAAAGATGATGCCAGAGTGTCAAGTATGAGGACTGGGAGATTGTGGTCATATCG